AAATTACAAACAATAGGACTGTGTAATAGCTTCATGTACTGTGTGTGTATAGCACATAAATAAATCTACATCTACTGCAATTCAACAGCTAGCAAATGAAGTCTGAACTATTACACACAAAAAACATGACCTTTACAAAGTAATTATTGTGAGGGGCTAGACTGTGTCCGTCATAACTTCCTTGTTTTCTGTAGCAGAGGATACAGGGGATTTGTCACACAAAAGACCACAACAAAGCACTGAAACAATTATTTCCACTCAGTTATACCACAGACTGCACAGCCTAATACAAAAGCAACACCCCTTACAAACAAAACGTCTACAGAGAACTTGGTTTTGAGAAAAATTATTTAAAAAATTTGCCTTTTCCTACATTTAATATTTGCTATATTCCAGTAAGATGCATAGAATAAGTATAAAATCAGCAGTTTATACATTTACAAACTGGAAAAAGGTTTGCATGCAGATTTCACAAAAGCTGTGCATTATAGTTTTTAAAAGATGACCCGTTTTAATATTTTCTCAATCTGCACCGTCAGTTTATCCATACCATGGAGGAGTTTATAGCACATAAACAGACACTTGGCTATCAAAGTAGGGATGAGCATTTTCAGCCAAAACTCTCTTCAAATTTGTCCGTAATTAACCAATTTTTCATTGAATATTCAAGTCCAATCCTGTCTCGTTCTCCTGGTGTAGGGATGCAGTACGTGCTGCATTTCTAGCCAGGTCCCATTTAACATCTCCCACCCCCACACCTTCCAGCCAACGCTAAAAACAAACATAAAACCAACTTGCAGCAGCTCATGCTCCTCAAAATGATCGTTTTATTCTCAACTCAAGTAGGGCTAATTATTATAGCCCAACAAAATTAAAAAGTAACTGTGCCCACATTGTTTGGAGTTGCAGTGAATTAAAGTGTATTCATCCTTCAAAGGCTTCGGGTGCAGAGACGTGTGCTGCTGTTAATCCTGCAAGTTGTGGATATTCATATTCCTTTGTTTTCACCTGTCTAACGGAAAAATGTGGAGGGGGATGTTAGGGGGCAGGCACCTCCTGTGGGAAGAAACCGGAGTACCCGGAGAAAACCTACACATGCATGGAGAGGACATGCAAACTCCAACCAGAAAGGCCCCCAGCTGGGATTCGATCCAGCGACCTTCTCATTTGCTATGTTTACATGCGCAGAATTCTCTGACCATATTGAAATGTGTTCTGTTTGAATAATTCAAATGTGTTGTTTACATGGGCACAATCTGTTCATGATGAGCGTTTACATGCAGCGGGCTTTGTTCTGAACAGCAGTACTGACATGCGCAGAGTGGTAAACTCTCCTTAAAAAAAACACCGAAGAAGAAGTTCTACTTCCGGGTGAACGTAAACAAACCTGAGCACCCAAAATGGACCCGCGACAGGTTTTAATGATGTTGGAGACGTTATTGCACTCCCTGACTGAGCTACAGGTAATAGAAATCATTTTGAGCTCTTTAAAAGTTTCTAGTAGAAATGTTGTGTCACTCACCGACCAGTTTTACTTCCCTGACATGCTAATATTATTAGCGTTAGCCAGGCGGAAATGGCAAAGTCGCACATGCGCAGTCAGGCCAGTTTTTCACGATCAGATAGAAACGAACAGATCAAGCGTTTACATGCGCACCGATCGGGTTTCGGATCGGCGTAAACCACCCGTTTCGTTCTGATCAGAAATTATAACGGATCGCGCCGAATACACAAAAAATAACCCGAACGGAGCGTTTACATGACACACTTTTATTCTGACCGGCCATTTGATCCGGTTACTTATGTCCATGTAAACATACCCATTGAGAGGCAACAGTTCTACAAACTGTGCCACCATGCCGCCCAAACTGAGCTCTATAAATTCAATAAAATGCAAGATTTAAAAAGAAAATAGTGTAAAATGTCTTAGTACACATGTCATGACTTCGTAACAAGGTAATTTCTTTCCTCATATTGTTTTCTATAAAGATGAGGCTCTAACTCTCCATCACCTAAGTAGGCTTTATCTAACTGGATTAGAATTGGACATGTACACTTGGCAGAGTTTTACTAAACAACTGCTATAAACTGACATAAGAAAAACAAATGAAGGACAAGAACTTTGCTATAAATTTGGCTTCATAAAATCTTATTTCAAAAGACAACTTGTGATTTACACTAAAATCCTAGTTAATAATTAAGGCCTCTGATTTAGTTTTCAAGCCAATGACAGCCAAGTGTGATTTTAACGTTAGAAACAAGTTATAAACTGGACAGAACTGATGTGAGAAACAAGAAGCATGCCTTTTAGGATCGCACATGGCGCTCATGCACAGCTTTTAATCCGCTTTAGGTCTGTACTTTTGACTTGGTCATTGCAACACCTTGACGTTTCTTTTAACAGACATCCTTTTGTACATTTGTTGTTGCTTTACTTTGGAATAATTTGGACCAAGAAATAGTTGTTGGACACATGGCTTCACATGTTCATGATCAACTTAAGACTGTAAGATGTCCTGGTCTTGTAGACCTCAAACAAGTCCAAATGATAACGCTTTCATCATTGTACGTAAGTTCCTACTGTGCGTAAAAGTAACCTGGAAAAATTAGACATTCCTCTGGAGAAATTTATAATATATACTTGTCAAGTCCTTTCAAAAAAAGCAAAGACTCTTTTGGCTTAACTGTTGTTAAATAAACAGTAATGGCACAGTGTTATGTGTCATGTGCTGCTGTTTATCGGAAGTTGTTGTTATCAAATTTAAAGCCCTGAAAACTGACCAACTAACCCTAACCCTGACAGTGCTTATTTTTTACTGAGCATTTATATACATGCATCTTTTGTAACATATGCATAGTATTGCCATTTATTCTACAAAAATGTCATAATTCAGCATAAAGATGGCTGCTAATACAGTATGTTACTTTTGTGTGTCAATCTGGACTGAGTTTATAAAAAGCTAATAACAATAATCTCTGGTTAACAAAGGAAATTACTGGTCTGAAGGTTGTTGATGTTATAATTCTTTAAATTTGGGCTGTAGGCATTAGGGATGTAAAGGTTAAACAAACTGTACAGATTCACCAATGTGCACAATCTCAAATTTGTAGAGCAGCCGTGTGAAGATGCAGTTCTGGGATTAAATCAAGATGCGTTCATTTATTACTTCTTTTTGCACCAATAAGTTTTGATCCACTGTAACTATTAGATTTTAAAAAGTCTTCAAGCAGAGTCTACAGACAATAAACAAATATGATTATATATATATATATATATATATATATATATATATATATATATATATATATACTTATTTCAGAGTACAGCTCTTCTTCTGGTGTCATTCCTGCTGTTCAGTATTGTGTTTTTTATAGTAATGTCTGAGGAAACCAGCAGTAGCACCAGTATAAAAAGCCATAAACTCTGAAAATGTGCTTCACTCTGATCATTTAGATCAACTAATATTGCAAAAAGAAAAGGTAAACTTGTGTATTATCATTTATGATAAACTTAATGCAATTTGCAGCTCATTCTTGAGCTACTTGGTAGTTTATTGAGGTTTTTTTTGCACCATGTCCCATTTTTGGTTTAACTTATACTCGCATTAATGTTTGTTAATTAAGAGTCGAGTTTTGTGATTTTGTAATTTTAAAACAACCGTGTTTGTAAGTGGTCGGTTATTTTTTCCCATTAGGCTGTTAAAATATTGAGTTTTATTAAGTAAATAACGTAGAATCATTCCTTTGTGTTGTAATTTACTGAATCTCAATCTGTTGAGTCAAACTTGAACCGTATTGTGATTAAGGGCTGAATCGTATCGTGTCGTATCTTTTGTTGTAATCTCTGATTATAAAAATCACTCTCTGACTTGACATATAAAAATTAGGCAGCAAAGTGTCACTCTCAGGGCAGATGGTTCATGTGTTGTTTGCTGAGGGAGAGAATGAAGCTCTTGACTTGTGGTGGTATTTTTTATCAGTGCCAAATATTAAACGGGTGAACGCTGTGAGGTTGATCGTGAGCAAACAGTGAAGCCATGACAACAAATCAGAACTAGTATCAGAGCCGTGTTGGGCACCAGTTGGGGCCATGGCATTCCTAGCTAATGCAGATTTGTCAGGGAAATGATTGAGCAAACAGAAGCCAGAGTGGCTTCCCCTTACTGGCACCAGTGCTTTTGTCACTACTAATCCACTCCAAAGATCCACAATCAAACCCTCCCTGCCAGCACCATACAGTCACCAGTAACAACAGGGAAAAGTCTGAGGGACACGAAACAAATTCCAACATCCATATCTGGAAGACCAGATGCCCGTTTGCACATCATATTTGAGCTGAGAAAATAGTATAGCTTAGCCACGTGACTGGGAGATAAACCCAGAGGAACCTTTTAATAAAATGCAATTTTTGTTGGGCATTATATTTTCATAACGGTAAGATGCATGTGGTTAATTAAACTAGTGTGCCATTCAGCACATAAAGTCAGGTATAAAGGTGAAGCTGTGAGAAGCTGAAGAAGAAAGAACTGGACTCGTCCACAGCTGCACAGCAAGCTGTGTAAACAGGTCTAGATATTCATTGAAAGACATCAACACAGTGGTTCCTAGGACCGACATTAAAGCCATTTACTCATCTGTGCCTCACAATGCTCCACTAAAAGGCTATGACTGCATGAATCAGAAGAACAGACACTAGAAAGTACTATAACAAGGGGTTGTCTCTAGGCTTGCAACTATTTAGCTCTTAAATGAACAAATAACACAAAAAGACTTAAAGAGATCATAACTCACAAATAATTGCTTGCACTTCTTTACTACTACTGGTAATTAAAACAGCACAGCTGAAACTAGTAACTGAGCTGATTATATATATATATATATATATATATATATATATATATATATATATATATATATATATATATATATAAACATAAAACCAAGGTGTGAACCTACAAAGCAGGTGTGAGAAACTCGAGCAGAGAAGTAGGGCGGCATACTCACTTGTCATATTCTGCGTTGTCTTTATCACAGCGAGCATCCTTGTGTTTCTCCCAGTCTTTGCCATGTTTACATGTAGTGAGAAGGACCACGTCCTCAGAGTTGTGCACATGGTATAAAGCATTCCTAGTGTCTGAACCTATTCCAGTCAGGTATCTTTTCCCCTTAAAAACAAGCATGTACTTCCTGTATGGAGGGATAGTGTTGTGTTTCAAATATCCCCTTTGCCCTCCTGTCCTTGGGTGGTCTTTAGAAAACAGGGGTATAGAAATGTCAAAGTTGGGTCTGAAGCTCTCTGTACTGATACTGGCCTTGGCCAACATGGCGAGGCCGATGTCAAAGCCGAGGTCTTCTGTGTAATCTGGCCAGGTACCAGAATATAAATTGAAGATGATGTGGTTTCTGCCCTCGTTCCACAGAGGAAGGCTCTGGATTTTTGCTCTCAAGTTGTGCACGTAATATGGCGAAAGCTGGTCCCGGTCCAGGGTGTCCAAGCTCAAGACGAAAAGGCACGCCTGTCCTGGGTCCAGTGTGTAGAACCTGGACCCTTCAATGGAGGACAGGACGTTCTGGTAACTCTCAGAGAGTTTTTCTCCTTTCTGCTGGGGGTACACATAAACTTTAAACCCAGTCCTCTCACACAAGGAGAAGTCAAAGCAGGACTCCATCCGGCAGCGTCTTCCAGTGTAAACGCCAGAGTTAGAGTCCCTCTTCTGCCTGGGGGACATGTGTCCACTGAGATCATCGCTGGTGTCCCTGTCCAAGGCGCTGAAAGGCTGCAGGTACCCGGGCCAGCGCCGCCACCGCGCCCCGGGGTGCAGCCCCGGGAGGCTGCGGTCATCGCGCCGATGGGCCCGTCTGGACAGCGGGACTTGAACCCCCCCGAAACAAAACAGCAGAAGGAGACAGGCACCGGCGGAGAACAGGACTAAGTAGCGTTTTTTGGCCTGCATGTGTCCAACGAGCTGGAGTGAGCCGTCCGTCTTGAGAATCCGAGAAGTGAAGTTTGTCTCTCAGCACCGCCACCTCCTCCGGCTCCTGAAGGAACCGTCCGCCATCTTCCCCCCGGGCTGCTGCTGCTCTGCTGCTTCAGGTGCCTTTCACAAGTCCCGGAGCTGATCCAAAGCATGTGGGCGATTTGTTTACTGCTCATCCACCTCGTCTCCTCGGCAGCCGTGGCATCGATAGACAGCTTTACCAAAACCACCGACAGACCCACCGGACCGGTCCGCTCGAACCTGGACACCTCGAGTCGCACTTCGCTCCGTTTAACGTCACTTTCTCTGAACCAGAAACCAGCATTTTAACCCGGTTCTGTCGCGTTATCTGTCCCAAACCGACATATCTGAGTTAAGTTAAAGCAGCAGACTTGTTGCCTGGACGGTTAAAACTATTGTTCCTACCATCGTCTCCCTCCTGAAGGTACTGAACCGAGCTGCCACTGGAGCTCCGGACACTCAACAAACACAATATTTGCGCCTCAGTTCTAAAATGAACTGCTTCGAAATGTATCATTAAAACCGCTACACCATAAATAACTACAAACGGCTCCGCTAGCTTACCAGCAAGCTAACAAACTAGCTAGGTTCTGGGTTCCAGTTAGCTCGAGAGCTAAGCGCTCGGTCATCAAAGGGTTTTTAACGCCGGCTGGCTGGAAGTAAACAGACGAAACAAGTCGGTGTCCTCCCTTAAAAACGGGCTCTCTCCGCTCCTCCGAGCGTGTCGTCTTTTAAACGGAGAGAATAACGTATCTGTCTCCAGTCATGTAAAGTGCTCAAGTGGTGGCTCCTTCAGCCGTACTCGCTCTCAGACCGGAGTGAGGTGGAGGCGACGAGCCGAACAGTAGCAGCGCCGCGCGGCCGGGCCGTCCCACTACTGACGACCAGGCTGCACGGAGCGTTACCATTGGGTACCGTCACATCCGAGGCGGGCGGGGCTACGAATACTTGAGTTCCTCTGTGGACTTTTAATTAGAAGGGAGTTGTTGTTGTTTGTTGTTGTTCTTCTTCTTCTGTGTTCTTCTTTGTTGTTTTTTTTCTCTTTGTCATCGCATGTGGTACATGAGGTGGAACGAAATTGTGTACTCAAGGTCCCAGTTACACCCAAAAATAACAATAATATAAAGTATAAAAAAGAAACAGCAGCTATACGAGAATCTAAGATATACGATAAACAATAATAATTTACTATACTATATATAACTGTGTACACAATTTCGTTCCACCATATGTACCACATGTGGTGCGAATGACAAATAAAGAAACTTTGACTGTAACTTTGACAAACAGCAGCCTGAACATGAGTCTGTTGCGAGCAGACGGGTATGAATATAGCAACTTATGGGTACGAAATCAGCGGCATGGATAGTCAGCAGCACAAAGTGTCAAATCTTCAATTAAAGTGGCGTTACAGTGATTTTTCTGTCTTTTTTTCTTTTTGTTTTCCTTACAGTGATTATCCTGATTAGACATTCATGAGTCTAACAGCCTCAGGGTAGAAGCTGTTCCTCAGTCTAGTGGTTCTACACTTAATGCTCCTCAACCTCCTGCCTGAGGGGAGTGGGGCAAAAAGTGTGTGCTGGGTGAGTGGGGTCCTTCATGATGCAGGTGGCCCTCTTCCTGCATCTAGAGGTGTAGATGTCTGTGATGGTGGGGGGACTGACTCCAACATACTTCTGTGCAGCCTTCACCACTCTCTGCAAAGCTTTTCTTTCTGCAGCTGTGCAGCCTCCATGCCACACGTTGATGCTGGAGCACAGGATGCTCTCCACTGCACACCTGTAGAAGGAGGTGAGGACTGAGCTTCCCAGACCAGCTCGTCTCAGCCGCCTGAGGAAGTAGAGTCTCTGATGAGCGTTCTTGATCAGGCTGGTAGTGTTGTTGCTCCAGCTGAGGTTGTCGTTCAGGTGCACACCCAAGTACTTGTAGCTGGAGACCACTTCCACCGCAGATCCTCTTATGTGTGGGGGGGTTGTGTTTCTACTTCATCCTTCTTCATCCTTGATCTCTGTTTTCTTCTTTTCAATTCTTCTTCAACTTTCTTCTTCTTTTTTGTCCTTCCTCATCGTCCTCTGTCCTTGTTTGTCCTTTTTCTGCACCTTTCTCTTCAGGGGTCACCACAATGAGTCATCCTCGTCCATCTCACTCTGTCCTCTGCATCCTCTGTGAAACCAGCAAGTGTTTGCTCCATTCATCCTCTGTTAAAATGTCTGGACGACATTAAGGCCTGGATGGCTTCAAATTTCTTAAGTTTTAACAATGAGAAGACTGAAGTCATTGTCTTTAGCCCTAGCTCAGCTGTCGCCACTGATCATGTCAACCTGAACTCTCTTCAGCCATATCTTAAGCAGTCTAGTAAAAATCTCGGGATGGTTTTAGACTCTGACTTCAAGTTTAACAAACAAATCAACTCTGTTATGCAGAAAAGCTTCTTTCAACTAAGACAGGTAGCTAAGCTCAAGCCAGTATTGTCCAGACCCGACCTTGAGAAACTAGTCCACGCCTTTGTCACGACCCGATTGGACTATTGCAATGCACTCTATGCTGGGGTCAGCCAGGCCTCCATCTCACGTCTTCAGCTCGTCCATAATGCTGCTGCTCAGCTTTTAACCGGAACTTGTAGGTCTGACCATATTACACCAGTTCTGTCCTCCCTTCACTGGCTTCCTGTTCGTACGAGGATAGTCTTTAAAATTCTTCTGTTGACCATCAAATGCTTAAATGGCCTCACACCCCTTTACCTCTCTGAGCTTCTGGAACCTTACGTTCCCTCTCGGGCCCTGAGATCATCCGATCAGCTGCTTTTGGCTGTTCCAAAAACAAGACTGAAGCTCAGAGGAGATCGGGCTTTTTCAGTCATGGGCCCCAAACTCTGGAACAACCTGCCCCCCAACATCAGGCAGGCCACCTCCCTTCCTCAGTTCAAATCTCTGCTAAAAACTCATCTGTTCTCGCAGGCATTTCACACAGTGTAAACTGAGCTAGTGTTTTTTAATCTGTGACCCTATGTTTTAAATGCTTTTTATTAATTCTTCAGTTATTATTATAAGTGTATTGCATTTTTTTCCTCTTTAATTTCACTCTCATTGATTGATTGTTGTTGTTGTTGTTGTTGTTGTTGTTAAGCACTTTGATAACAGGTTCTGTTTTAAAATGTCCTCTATAAAAAAAGTTGACTTGACTTGACTCTGTCCTCACTCCAACTACCTCCATGCCCACTCTTAATGCATCCATAGATCTCCTCTTTGTCTTTTCCTGGCAGCTGCATTTCTAACATCCTTCTACCAGTATACCCACTGGCTCTCCAAGCCATCTCAGTCTGGCCTCCCTAACTTTATCTCCCAGTTGTTCAACCTGTGCTGTACCTCTGATGATCTCATTCCTAATCTTATCCATCCTTGTTGCTCCTAAGAACAACCTCAACATCTTCATTTCTGCCACTTCCAGTTCTGTCTCTGTCTCCAGACCATACAACATGGCTGGTCTCACCACTGTCCTGTAAACATTTCCTTTGGCCTTTGCTGACACCCTTTAGTCACAAATCACTGCTGAAACTCTTAAGTAATTATGTTTTTTAACATTCTATCTTCATGTGTTTATTGTTGATGCATTTATTAATGGGCAGTATTGTATCAAACACTTGTTTAGAGGAGGAAAAAACAATCGTACTCATGTTTAAACTCGTGCCAGTGGGTGTGGATTCCTGCTCATGTGGTACCAGGTCTTTTCTTTTTTATTTGACTTTGTAAATGAACTTCTGTCTTCACTTCCTTCTTAATTTTTTGTTCATTGTTTTTTTTACTTGTCACGCCTGATATGAATTTGTGATTGGCACACCTGTTCTTTACTCTCCTCTGTGTTCACACTGACTGGTTTTACTTTGTGTCCTGTCAGTTCTTTGTGTATTTTCTTTGTCTTTTTGCTGTGGTCCACCTTTATTTTATTTTTTTCGTCTGTGACAGAAAGTTTTATTTTCACCATCAGTGAGTCTACAGTGGTGCATGAAAGATTGTGAAGCCTTTAGAATGTTCTATATTTCTGCATAAATATAAATATGACCTAAAACATCATCAGATTTTCACACAAGTCCTAAAAGTAGATAAAGAGAACCCCGCTAAACAAATGAGACAAAATATATACTTGGTAATTTATTTATTGATGAAAATGATCCAGTATTACATATTTGTGATTGGCAAAAGTATGTGAACCTCTAGGATTATCAGTTATGAAGGTGAATTTAGAGTAAAGTGTTTTCAATCTATGGGATGATGATCAGGTGTGAGTGGACACCCTGTTTGATTTAAAGAACAGGATCTATGAAAGTCTGATCTTCACAACATGTTTGTGGAAGTTTATCAGCGAGGAACAAAGGAGATTCCTGAGGACCTCAGAAAAAGAGTTGTTGAAGCTCATCAGAAATAAAATCTGTAAAGAGTTTGGACTCCAACAATCCACAGTCAGACAGATTATGTACAAATGGAAGAAATTCAAGGCGTTACCTCTCCAGGAGTGGTGGACCAAGAGCAAGGCATGGAATAGTCTGTGAGGTCCCAAAGGACCCAGGGTAACTTCTAACAACTGAAGGTCTCTCTCACATTGACTAATGTTAATGTTCATGAGTCCACCATCAGGAGAACACTGAACAACAATGGTTCATGACAGGGTTGAAGAAGCCACTGCTCTCCAAAAAGAACATTGCTGCTCGTCTGCAGTTTGTTAAAAATCACGTGGACAAACCAGGAAACTGTTGGAAGAATGTTTTGTGGACGGATGAGACCAAAATAGAACTTTGTGGTTTAAATGAAAAGTGTTTTGTTTGGAGAAATGACAACACTGCATTCCTGCATAAGAACCTGATCCCATCTGTGAAACACGGTGGTGGTAGTATCATGGTTTGGACCCGTTTTGCTGCATCTGGGCCAGAACGGCTTGCCATCATTGATGGAACAATGAATTCTGAATCATATCAGAGAATTCTAAAGGAAAATGTAGAACATCTGTCCATGAACTGAATCTGAAGAGAAGGTGGGTCATGCAGCGAGACAATGACTCTAAACACACAAGTGGTTCTACC